AAGGGCATTGCCCCCTAAAACCCTCTCCAGGTGTTTCCCGGGTAACTGCATTTTTTCAATGATTTTGTCATTTTTTCAATCCCATACTGAAACTGAAAACACTTTGCACGGGGGACAGATCATCTCAGTTTAAAAATTTTTTGGATTTGAAATGTGTGTAGTACTTTGACTCACATTCTGATGACCTTGATGATGAAAACTTGGAAAAAGGATCAGCAATTTTTTAACAAAAAAAAGGGGAATTCAAGAAAAAATATTGCGCCCACGACAGAAATCACTTTGGGTGAATTTATAAACTCAGACTTAAGATCTTTAAATACAGTGGACCCCCGCTTACGATCAGCCCCCAATGCGCCAATATGAAGTGTATTTATAAGTGCGTTTGCGGCATGTTTGGGGTCTGAAATGGACTAATCTAATTCACAATTTTCCCTTAGGGGAACAAATTCGTTCAGAAAAGGGGCACCTGAACATATTCTGGAATAAATAATATCGAAAACCCGGGGTCCACTGTATTGGGTTTCATTCCCCCGGGGTCCTGGGTATGATGGGACTTTCTTTGTACCAATAAAATTATGAAATAAAAACCACATTGTAACCTCTGCAAAAAAAATAGTTTTTTTTCTTGTTTTGAATGTAAGTGAAAGTAGAAATGCCTGTAAACTTCAAAAAATTGTCCAAACATTGAAAAAGACTTTGGGAAAAGTTTAAAAAATTTTTTTCGTACTATAAAGTTTTTTTTTTTTTTCAACAATCGGGGGTCTCCCCCGAGGCAGGGTCCCCAAAAAGAAAGAAAATCCCCAAAAAGAAAATACTTTCATCATCAATCAATACTTTCACCACCTCAACATAACACTGTTTTTGCAGAGGTCCCCAGAACAAAAGGTTTTTAAAGCATAACGTAAAAGAACACAACTATCCCTCCAAATGCAATATCCCAAAACCCCCCCTTTAGAGTGCGGCATTGACTCCCTTTTCCCGGGACTAAAGCCCAATTTTAATAAAAAAACCTTTCCCTAAATCCCTTCACAAAATATTCCCCTGCCACACTCCAACAGATGTCAGGTCCCAAGACTTCGTCTCATCCTCCTATCTACACTCACGCACCTGATATTTTATGCTGATAAAAGAAAAAATTGTACAAAACATTGTAAAACAATTTTTCCAAAAAAAAGCTTTTTTTTCAGGGTACTTGTTTATTTCCATCTTAAAAAAAATTTTTTTTAAATTTTTTTTTTTTTTTATTTTTTAGTAATTTTTTTGCACAATTTAGATTACCAAATTACTGTAAAAGGGGTTAATAATTCCCAAAAATGTAATAAACATAGCTTTAGTCTTTTTTAAAGTGTAAAAAGTGGGTTAAGTGAACAATAGTAAAAATCTGAAGAGTCCCTTTAACTTTTTAAGTTGTTTCAGGATCTTAACCACTTGGGGTTTGAGACGTAGTACACGTGATAGCTCAGCTCACTCGAAAAAATTTTGAGATAATTTTGGGGTTAGATATGAGGAATGGATCTATGTGGGAAGTGGCACCAATAAACAAATTGTGACAAAGTAAACAAACGGAAAAAAATGCGACCTTGTTTTTTTTTTTTAAAACGCAATTTTTTTCAGTGTACAGTGGACCCCCGATAACGACCCTCCAATGCGACCAAAATTTTGTAAGGATTTTTGTAAGTGCGTTTGTACGTGTATGTTTGGGGGTCGAAAAAGGACAATAACTTCACATATTTTTTATGGGAACAAAATTCGGTCATACTGGCACCTGAAATACTTCTGGATGAAAAAATATCGTTAACCGGGGGGCCACTTTATTTTTGTATGTTTTTTTTGGCTGTACTCGTGGTTCTTGTCCACTGATAGAAGGATGAATATTAACAAAAAAAATAATTTTGATTGTTTTTGGAATGACAATAGCTTAAAATAGAGGTTAAATTAGCAGAAATGTTTGATTTTTGCTGATGTTCAAGAGTAAACAAATCACATCATGCTCCAAAAGGGGCCACTCGTGGGGCAAAATCATTCCCCAAGTGCGCTGAATTATTTATACAATTATTACAGTATTGCATAACAGTAAATCTTCCATTTTTTGGTGTGTAAAAATTCATCGTACAAATTAAAAATGAAAATGGAATTCGGTAAAAAACCTGGAAATTAACTAATAAACGAGGAAAAAGTTATTTTAGTACCAGAAAGTTTAAAACCGTTTAAATGTTTACAGTGGGCAAATTAACATTTCTGTCATTTTTTTGGGTATTTTACTGAGCAGTTTTTCTTGTGCTCAGCTGATAAAAGAAGGCAACAAGCAACAAGCTAAGAAAATTTGGGCGATGGACAGGTAATGGCCTAAAAAGGAGTCAATGTGGGCAAAAATCCTGAATGTAAATATTGCTGACACGACAAATTTCGTGACAGTGTAATTCCGTCAGTTTTCTATCAAATTATGTATTTTTTTATTACCTTCAGAAAAAAAGATTCCCTGCCATTTCATAAAAAAAATATAATTTTTTTTTTTTAAATTCTTGAACCCTGTGGACAAGTTCCAGATCAGGGGCTGGGACCCTGTGGACAAGTTTCCCGATCAGGGGGTGGGGGCCCCGTGGGCAAGTTCCGATCGGGGCTGGGACCCGTGGGGCAAGTTCCAGATCAGGGGCTGGGACCCCGTGGACAATTCCAGACAGGGCTGGGGCCCTGTGGACAATTTTAGACAGGGGCTGGGACCCTGTGGACAATTCCAGATCAGGGGGCCGGGACCCTGTGGACAAGTTCCAGATCAGGGGCTGGGACCCTGTGGACAAGTTCCAGATCAGGGGCTGGGACCCTGTGGACAAGTTCCAGATCAGGGGCTGGGACCCTGTGGACAAGTTCCAGATCAGGGGCTGGGACTCTGGACAATTTTTTCCCGATCAGGGGGTGGGACCCTGTGGGCAAACTTCCAATCAGGGGCTGGGGGCCCGAAAAGGGGTTAAATTAACTGGTTCTTAAGTTTTCAACTGGCTTATGTTTCAGGGTGTGGGAAAATTATGGAAAAGTGAAGAAACAAGAGGATAAGATTTATCATGACTCCACGAAGAGGGCGGTTTATATCCAGTGTACGGGCCTAAATCTCCAAAGTGTTGTCACACAGCACACGTAATGCTTGTAGAAAGATGTTCAAATGTTATCAGCTAAAATAAAAAAAGGGAGGTTGTTTTTCCCAGGTCAAGCCCCGCTGACTGCGCCATTACCCTGATGTGGAATACTAGACGGATTCAAAACCCAATTTTTAATAAATTTCTTTTAACGAAAGTGCTAAACCTGTGGGAGCTGAGTTTGATAAAATGGGAGGGAAGCTCCATTTACCTGGATGAAGAGCTAATCACCAATATCAAAGCACCTTCCTTAACCCTTCAAGTGGCTATATGTAGAACCACATCACAGTATAAGAAGTCACAATACTGTGACTGGCACAATACACAAATAGATAAATGATTCAGAGAACTGACAAGTTTATAAATTAGGTGCATGTGCAACACTTTGGTATCTTCACTTGCCTAACTTTTTGGCATAACCTACTTCTACATGCAGATCTGTCAATGAGATATTACCTACATCTGCTTCACTTCGCCTGTGTACAGTATATAAGCCGCTTCTTCGTGCATATGCTGTATTCTTTTCAAGATTGATAGACTAATTATATCGACTCCAGGCTGAAGGACTCGTTACCTCAAACTCCTTCTGTTCTTCACCATTCTCCTTTGTATGGACTGATGAAGCCACTGTGTGGCGAAACATTTCCTCAATAAAGATACCCAAGTGTTGCACATGCGCCTAATTTATCAATACACAAATAACCCGCACACAGGAAAGTGAATCTTATGACAACGTTTCAGTGTCCCACTCGGAACAGTGTAACAAGTTACGTTCAATTGACCAAAACGTTGTCAGAGTGTCACTGCTATTTGCGGTTATTGTAAAGCGTCAACAAGGTAGGTCCCTCGTGGATTTCGATAATAAACACTCACCAATAATCGTGTGGTAATTTAGCCTAGATAGACACAGGGTCTGTGTGTCGGGAGACACTGTATAAAATCATGCCTAACTGAGGTTTTCATGTAAAAGTCAGGCTCCATTATACTGCAGGTTAATTCTAGGTATGCTGTAAGTCGGGCTCCACTTACACAGAGTTAGTTTAGGCTTGCGTACAATCAGCTCCACTTATACAGCAGGTTAGGTTCTAGGCTACTACTGTAGTCAGGCTCCACTTGTACAGCAGGTTAGGTTTTAGACTACTGCTGTACAGTCAGGCTCCACTTATGCTCCAGGTCAGGTTCTAGGCTACCGCTGTACAGCAGCACTATATAGCCCTTGTGGTTTAGCGCTTCTTGTTTATAATAATGATAATAATAATAATGCTGTACAGTCAGGCCCCACTTATACTGCAGGTTAGGTTCTGGGCTACTGCTGTACAGTCAGGCCCCACTTATACTGCAGGTTAGGTTCTGGGCTACTGCTGTACAGTCAGGCCCCACTTATACTGCAGGTTAGGTTCTGGGCTACTGCTGTACAGTCAGGCCCCCATTACATTTGCAGGTTAGGGTTCTGGGCTAATGCTATACATCACGCCCACTTATACTGATGTTATTTTTAGGCACTGCTGTACAGTCAGGCCCCACTTACACTCCCAGGTTAGGTTCGGGGCTATTGGGCTGTACAGTCAGGCCCCACTTATACTGCAGGTTAGGTTCTGGGCTACTGCTGTACAGTCAGGCCCCACTTATACTGCAGGTTAGGTTCTAGGCTACTGCTGTAGTCAGGCCCTACTTATATAGCAGGTTAGGTTCTTGGCTACTGCTGCAGTATACAAGAGGGCCCCACTTCACAGCAGTAGCCTGGAACCTAACCTACTATATAAATGAGGTCCTCCTATACTATAAAACATCATCCAATATTAAGAAAACTATGTATCCTGTGGAAATAAAGTATTCACATATTATTTTGTTATTTATTACTGCATATACCTGTCTATGATTGGCCTCCACTTGACTCTGTGGTTGTATACGTTGCCTCAGGGTGAAGAGCAGGTGTCGTACCGTCACATCAACGCCCCCAATGTGCAACTGTCTGAACTGTAAAATCTGACGCCAGGTTAAGCCAAACTCTCTCACTCCTTCACTGATTTTCTTTAGCACCTGAGGAAAACAGTTTTCACAATAATAAACAATGGTATAAATATTTCTCAGAAAAAATAAGTTTAAATAATAAGAGATTCGGGAAAATCAGTCTGGAGGACTCGAGTCCAGGAAGTTCAGTGTCTGAACTCTGAAGGATGGGTAGGGATATTACTGTCCTGAAGGTGGGAAGTACAGTGTCTGTACTCTGAAGGATGAGTGAGAATGTTAGCTTCAGGGACATCTGAACTGTGATGTCAAGACACTTTTGGTAACAGTCACTGAATGACTGATGGTAAATATACAGTATTTTTTAAATATTTTCATTAAAAATAAGTAATTATGGCCCCCAAAAACAGTAGTGGTCCAAACAAGCCTAAAAGGAAAGTGAGAACAACAATTAAAGTGAAAGAAGAACTCATTGCAAAGTGGGAAAGTGGAACGTGTCAGACCTGGCCACTCAATACAGTATGGTGAAATCCACCATATCGTTATATTGAAAAATAGTCCATAAAAGAGGCTGATGTGGCAAAATGAGTGAAAGTTCTTGCTGTGAAAGTCACAGATAATTGAATGGAAAAGCTTTTGTTAGTATGGATTAACAAAAAACAATTGGCCGGTGACAGTTTCTGAGACAATTTGTGAAAAAGGAAAGCAGTTATATAGAGATTTTAGGCAAGACACCTCAGGAAACTGTGCTGAAAGTGATGAATTAATGACAAGTAGGGGCTGGTTTGATAGGTTTAAAAAGAGTGGGATTCATAGCGTTATAAGGTATGGAGAGGCTGCCAGTGCTGAGAGAGATGAGGAATTTAAAACCTATGTAGACACTGAAGGATTTATTCCTTCAATGTCTACATAGGTTTTTAACTGTGATGAAACCGGCCTCTTTTGGAAAAGAATGCCTATGAGAACCTACATCACACAAGATGAAAAATCATTACCAGGATACAAGCCTATAAAAGACAGCTAACACTCTTGTGTGGTAATGCTAATGGGGACTGCAAAATTAAACCATTACTAGTCTACCACTTTGTAAATCCAAAGGTATTTAAGAAAAACAATTTGATAAAGAGAAAACTCAGTGTGGAGGGCTAATAGTAAAGCCTGGGTAACAAGGCAGTTCTTCAATGAGTGGATACATGAGGTGTTTGTCCCAAGTGGGAAGCAGTACCTTGTGTTAAAAAATACTGCTAACCCCTTTCAGTGCCGGTCCCTTAGTACTACAGCTCTGAAGCCAAGGTCGGTCCCGTTGTACTACACCACAAGCTCAGCTTACTCAGATAAGTTGTGAGCAGTAAATCTGAGCCTATATATAAGAGAATGGGTCTATGTGGTAAGTGTGCACTGTATAAAAAAAAAAAAAAAATCCTGCAGTATGCAGTGCATAATGAAAAAAAATCTGACAGCATTTTTGGTTTAAAACAGCAACTTTGCAGTGTATTTTCATATGGTTTTTATGGTTATATTCTGTTTCTCCGTAAGCCATACGTGTCGTAAGAGGTGACTAAAATGCCGGGAGCAAGGGGCTAGTAACCCCCTTCTCCTGCATACATTACTAAAATTAAAAAGAGAAACTTGTGTTTTTCTTTTTGTGCCACCCTGCTTCGGTGGGTTATGGCCAGTTTGTCGAAAGAAAGAAAGAAAAGATTCTGTTTCTTGGTCTCATTTGATAGAATAGTTAAAGCCATATTTTGAATTTCTTGCAAATCCTTTAGTGATTGATGTCATCAACGATGGATGTCCTGTTGTTGCACCTTTTGCCTCAGATGTTTTGCTTCAATAGAAACAGAGGTTATTGTGCTGCAGGAAGATGTGGGTTTGAAACTAGTACATAAAAACTTATCTCTAACTAACTTTTGGAAACAAATTCCAAAAGCAAAGTATCCCAATCGTCAGAAAACTGACTTCTGACTACTCTGTTTTTGGGATAACTTACTGCTGTAAGTCTCTCTTTCTCTGTAATTATTTTCTTTTTTAACATATCAGCCATTTCCTACCAAGGCAGAGTGACCTGAGAAAGAAGAAACACTTTCACCATCATTCACTCCATCACTGTCATGCCAGAGGTGCACTTACACTACAGTTATAAAACTGCAACATCAACACCCCTCCTTCAGAGTGCAGGCAGAAGGGGTGTTGATGTTGCAGTTTTATAATTGTAAGTGCACTTCTGGCATGACAATGATGGAGTGAATAATGATGAAAGTGTTTCTTTTTTTTGGGGTTGCCCTGGCTTAGAGGGGAAACAGCCAATGTGTTAATACCAAAAGATGAAATTTATTAAATCAAAACATGGTGCTATCCTCACCAACAGTCGCCTCACTGAGCTTCTTAGAACAACTTTGACATCCTACCAACCAGATTTTAAACTACAGTATTAACTGCAAAAATGACGACTCAAAGTTTTCAACAAGCAGATTCAATGCATTCTACTTTAATAACAAAAAAAGGCACAATACCATGACTGGAACGATACACAAATAACCCGCACATAGAAGAGAAGCTTACGACGACGACCACCACCACCACTACCTCTTCCTGCTTATATATAGCCGTCCTGCTCCACCTCTGGTTAGTGTGACTTTGTAAATGGTCAAAGTCGGACCGAAACGTCGTCGTAAGCTTCTCTCTTCTATGTGCAGGTTATTTGTGTATCTACTTTGATGACCAGGCCTGCTATATAGTTGTATTTTATTATTTATAAATACAATTTTAAAATATTTGTTGTGGTTCTTGAACATTCAAAAATGTCAGACAAGTACAGTGGACCCCCGGTTAACGATATTTTTTCATTCCAGAAGTATGTTCAGGTGCCAGTACTGACTGAATTTGTTCCCATAGGAAATATTGTGAAGTAGATTAGTCCATTTCAGACCCCCAAACATACACGTACAAACGCACTTACATAAATACACTTACATAATTGGTCACATTCAGAGGTAATCGTTATGTGGGGGTCCACTGTATTATATGTGGCTCTTCTTATTGAAGAACTTGCCCACCCCTGTTATGGGCACTATTTCTTGCATTCAAATCAAAAGTTTATTTCTTTGCAAAGGTTACAATGTGTGTTTACATTTCATAATTTGATCGGTAAAAACAAAGCCACTATCATGCTGAGGCATGATAATGGTTTTGTTTATATGTACCACTATCATGCCGAGGCATGATAATGGTTTTGTTTATACCACTATCATGCCTCGGCATGATAGTGGATGACCTCTGACGCCATAATGATAGTTTGAGGAGTGAGATGCTGTAGTCTACTATATAAAAAGCTTTGCAAAGATTGATAAAGAGGCCTAGTGAGTATTTATCATTTTCATGCACTGTATAAGGAAGTCTAGCATTTTATGATTGCAGTATTTATTTTTATTCAGTCTGAAACCAAATTGGCATGAGTTTAGTATTATGCATGATGCTAGAAAAAGAGTATAATCTTTGTGTATTATTTTTCAAAAATTTTGTGTAACAATGGTAAGTTAGATATTGGTCTAGTTATTTACATCTGTTGTCTCCACCTTTTTATTTTTTTTTTTTCAACAAGTCGGCCGTCTCCCACCGAGGCAGGGTGACCCAAAAAGAAAGAAAAAATCCCCAAAAAGAAAATACTTTCATCATCATTCAACACTTTCACCTCGCTCACACATAATCACTGTTTTTGCAGAGGTGCTCAGAACACAAGAGTTTAGAAACATATACGTATAAAGATACACAACATATCCCTCCAAACTGCTAATATCCACCTTTATATATTGGAGTAACTCTTGCTGTCTTGAGTAATGTCAGGAAAGTGTTGGTTTCTCGTGACATGTTAAACAATGTTGTAACGGCAGGTGAAAGGACAAGAGTTGTTCTTCTGAACACGAGTGGTGATGCCTGAGCTGAATTACCTGTCTTGTTTTTCAGTGAATTAATTGTGTGACCTCGGTGGGTTCAGTCGCAGCAAGACAGATGTCAGAAAGTTTTCAACAAGGTAATCACTCGCTAGAGTATTTGTGATGAGAATTTTTTTCACTAGATTTGATTCTATGGTAGAAAAAGAAAATATTTAATTTATTGGCTGTTTCTACAGGCTGGAAATGTGCTTCAATGAGTTTAGATAGAAGAGTATCTCAGGTTTTGGTCAACTTCTAAGAACCCAGAATCTAAGTGTTTTTTTCAGGTCTGTTTCATATCACCTCTTGTTTCACTGTACCTCTTAAAATAGTAGAGTTGCTGGACTTCCTAATTAGTATGGTAAGGACTGACTCATAATTTTTTGGTATGTTCTTTAGTTATTAAGCCCAGCCTACTGTTTTATGTAGATCAGTTTATTATTGGATCTGAGGATGGTGTTTCTTAGCCAAAGGCTATTTAGTCTCTTTGCTATGATCTGCTTAGTTTTTATAGGACTATGCTTGTTGTAGAGGCTTTGTAATTTCTGTAGATTTTTTTTTTTTAGCCCATTCATCAATGTGTCTGTTATTGTTAAAGTCTGTGTTGCAGTCAGTGTAACTTAACGCTGTAGTGATGTTGTTTCTGGATGTCTCATCATGGAGACAAAATATCTTACTATATTCAAGTGGTATCTTACAAATATTTGTTATGAGGAAGGTGAGGTATTGTTTGTGCTACTGAACTTTATAATTATGACCATAATTTTTAAGGGGGTGGACTAGTAAGCCAGAGGAAGGCCTCGGTCAGATGACCAAAAGCTCCAACGGTGGTTCATATGACTAAGACCTGCATCAGAAAACACTTGTGCAGTTTCCTGAAAAACCTTACATAACCTCTGTTATCCCAGCTTTGAGAAGGGCTAATATACTGGTCCATATATGAACAATTATGGCTGAACTTGTCTCACATAACCTTGTTTCTGTTATAGCTGGTATAAGCTATGAGTTGTTTATAGTATTAATGAAGTCTGTCATTGGTGGGTCCTCAGCTAGGCTGAGGACAAGACACCACAAGTAATAGTTAACCCTTAAATGGTCCAAATGTATATATACGTTTTTTCAACATCTGAAAGTATGTTTTACATTTGAAAACGTGTAAAAAAACTTTTATCAACATTTTTTTTTGTTATATTTGAAAATATGTAAAAAAAAGTAGATCTACTTTTGTAGCATTACGAATCTGAACGTCGATCTGTTTGGACCGTTTAAGGGTTAATATCTGTTTAGTTTCTTGTTAGTTATTAGGTTTTTAAGGTTGTCACTAAAGTCTGGGATATTTGTACGAGGAACCCTGTTGATCGCACCAACTATCATGGGAGTCCTTTTGTTTTCTGTTACGTTGTTAGCAGTTATGTATTCACCATATTCATCACTGCATCAAGTAGTTATTACATAACAGTTAACTGGGATAGTATATGGCAATTAACCCCCCGTTCCGTCCCGTACAAGTGATGTATGAATGGGTCAGCGTGGTCGGTGTGCGCAGTATGCAGAAAATCAGGGCGCCCCTACAGTGCATTGTGGGAAAGCCATATTCAGCACCCTGTGTTAACCATGCTGTGCAGTTGGAAAACCCTCACTACCAGGCAAATTGATCAACATCTGGGTCATTCCATGTCAAATGGACCAGGGGTCACCACCTGACCATCTCCGGTTGTGATAAAATTTTCCATGAAGGTTGGCATATATGTCATACTAACTTTGGGAAAGTTTAAGTTCATGATATGCAGCAGTAGTAATGCTATGGCCCTCAGAGTGGAGGCTGGTGAAAATTTCACCAACCCACGGCACACAGTCAACAATGCTCAGGTTATTGCTGTGGCTGATCTAGAAGAGTAAAAGATGTGTAAGTAGGCATGCCTATATGACCTCAGGTGGTAGATTTAATACAGAACACAAAATTAAACCTTCCTTTAAAGCTGGGAAAAATTCTTGTATTTAAAAACAAAAAAAAAAAAAAAAAAAAAAGGGGGGGTCCTCATTTGAGAAGTTTGTTAATTCTAATTTGTTTGAAAATGTTTTTGAAAAAAGTGAGATTATGAGGTTGTGAAAGACAACACAGTGTGTTGGCACAGCGCTGGTTGGTGTGTGGGTCGCCAGCAGCAACAGCTTAGATGACAAGGCCAGCACCTGACAAACCTGGCTCAAGGCAGGGCTAAAGTAGTAGGTAAACTCTGGAAACTGGTGACAAGCATACCATAGGTTACTGTGGTATACATACATACATAGGTATGTATGTATGTATGTACAGTGGACCCCAGGTTCGCGAAGTCATCGGTAACCGATAAATCCGGTATCCGAAGCATTATTATTATTTATTGTTATCACACTGGCCGATTCCCACCAAGGCAGGGTGGCCCGAAAAAGAAAAACTTTCACCATCATTCACTCCATCACTGTCTTGCCAGAAGGGTGCTTTACACTACAGTTTTTAAACTGCAACATTAACACCCCTCCTTCAGAGTGCAGGCACTGTACTTCCCATCTCCAGGACTCAAGTCCGGCCTGCCGGTTTCCCTGAATCCCTTCATAAATCTTACTTTGCTCACACTCCAACAGCACGTCAAGTATTAAAAACCATTTGTCTCCATTCACTCCTATCAAACATGCTCACGCATGCCTGCTGGAAGTCCAAGCCCCTCGCACACAAAACCTCCTTTACCCCCTCCCTTCAACCTTTCCTAGGCCGACCCCTACCCCCCGCTTTCCTTCCACTACAGACTGATACACTCTTGAAGTCACTCTGTTTCGCTCCATTCTCTCTACATGTCCGAACCACCTCAACAACCCTTCCTCAGCCCTCTGAACAACAGTTTTGGTAATCCCGCACCCCTCCTAACTTCCAAACTACGAATTCTCTGCATTATATTCACACCACACATTGCCCTCAGACATGACATCTCCACTGCCTCCAGCCTTCTCCTCGCTGCAACATTCATCACCCATGCTTAACACCCATATAAGAGCGTTGGTAAAACTATACTCTCATACATTCCCCTCTTTGCCTCCAAGGACAAAGTTCTTTGTCTCCACAGACTCCTAAGTGCACCACTCACCCTTTTCCCCTCATCAATTCTATGATTCATCTCATCTTTCATAGACCCATCCGCTGACATGTCCACTCCCAAATATCTGAATACATTCACCTCCTCCATACTCTCTCCCCCAATCTGATATCCAATCTTTCATCATCTAATCTTTTTGTTATCCTCATAACCTTACTCTTTCCTGTATTCACTTTTAATTTTCTTCTTTTGCACACCCTACCAAATTCATCCACCAATCTCTGCAACATCTCTTCAGAATCTCCCAAGAGCACAGTGTCATCAGCAAAGAGCAACTGTGACAACTCCCACTTTATGTGTGATTCTTTATCTTTTAACTCCACGCCTCTTGCCAAGACCCTCGCATTTACTTCTCTTACAACCCCATCTATAAATATATTAAACAACCACGGTGACATCACACATCCCTGTCTAAGGCCTACTTTTACTGGGAAATAATTACAGTACCTTGTAAGACATATATATACGACCGAAACAGTCAAAGGGTTAAGTAAGCTAAAACCAGCTAAACTTCCAGAGCAATAACTACTTCCCAGGAATATTATATATGATTCCTCAAAATCGCATACATGCAAAATTTATAAACTTGTTAGTCAAAATTTAATGAAATGTGGGTAGCCTGAACAGTATTTCAAGATTCAGGATTAACAAGGTTAGACATGACACTTGATGGGCAACTCAAAAACTGGAAACATATTTAACCCAATTTATTCAATATTTGTCTTGCCAGAAGTGTGCTGATATCACAGTTCAGATGACCCTCTGAACTGTAATATCCTCACTCATCCGTCAGAGTACAGGCACTGTATGTACTTCCCACCTCCAGAACTGTAACGTCTTCACTCATCCTTCAGTGTACATGTACTGTACTTACCACCTCCAGAACTGTAACATCCTCACTCATCCTTCAGAGTACAGGCACTGTACTTCCCACATCCACGACTCAAGTCCAACTAACATAAAATACAAATATCTAAACAGATGCTTCAAATAAGAGAATAAAGATAACATCAAACACGAACATCGGACTTACCTGACATTCACAGTACGCGATCAAACAATCAAGGGCAAGCCGTGAGATGAGATCAGGATCAAGAACACCTTCCAGGACCAGGCAAGCTGGATCGCCACAGTCAGATGACCCAGCAGGAGGACGAGAGCGAGGAACGTAACCCATCAGTGAGAGTACCGACTCGGCACCAGCTAGGTGATGTGCTACTTGGTGTACCCAGAAGCCGCTGTACAGCTGAGGACACAGTGTATCATTAATACATTAAACAATAACATCAGTATACCTTTACCTCTGATATACCTTTGAAGAGTTTCAAGAGTTTAACTATTCTTGGAGCCCGGCCCTGTCAGGCTCGTCTGGTGCTTGCCTGGTCAACCAGGCTGTTGCTGCTGGAGGCCCGCTGCCCTACATATCCATCACAGCCTGGTGATCTGGCACCTGGTGAAGATACTTGTCCAGTTTCCTCTTGAAGGCTTCTACACTTGTTCCAGCTGTGTTTCTTCTGGTAAGATGTTGAACAGTCTGGGACCCCGGATGTTGATTCAGTGTTCCCTTATTGTCCCCACCGCACCCCTGCTCCTCACTGGGTGTATTTTACACTTCCTCCCATATCTCTCACTCCAGTATGTTATGGCAGTGTGCAGATTTGGGACCATGGGACCAAGCCCTCAAGTACTTTCCAGGTATATATTATCATGTACTGTATCTCTCCTCTGCTCCAATGAGTACATGTTCAAGACTTTAATGTGTTCCCAGTCATATAGGTGCTTTACTGGTTCAGTGTGAGCCGTAAACAATCTCTGCATTTGTTCCAGCTCTGATATTTCACCTGCTTTGAACGGGGCCATCAGCACTGAGCAATATTCTAAATAAGGGAGCACTAGTGGTTTGAGGTGTCACCATCAGCATCATGTCCCTTGTTTCAAAAGTTCTCAATACCCACCCCATCATCTTCCTGGCTGTCATGATCTTTGTCTTGTTATGTTCCTTAAAAGAAAGGTCAGCTGACATAATTATTCCCAGATCTTTTATGTGCTCCTTTCGTTCTATTTGGTGACCCTCTTGAGTTTTGTATATAGTGTTCCTTTTGAGTTCCTCATTCTTTCCATACCGAAGCAGCTGGAACTTATCACCATTGCAAGTCATATTGTTCTCCACTGGCCACTGGAAAACCCTGCCTATGTCTTCCTGTAATTTTTCAGCGTGTTCTACCGTAGTGTCGTTTGCAAATAATGATACAAAACTGTGATGGGTGTGTTTATTTATGTCTGCTATGAGGACGAGAAACAGCAGAGGTGCCAGGACAGTGATTAGATTATTTTTAAAGTAATGAAGTGTCTTATACTGAAAGAAACATAGGTGAGGTAAAAAATATTTATGGAAACAAATCATATAGGACAAAAATGTTATACTGAATGCAAGTACAAATCATATAACCCAAAGCTGTTACTTTGAACACAAATCATATAAGAAGCCACAGATGACAAACCCAAATCTGCTATGGTACAATATACAATATTTTTTGTTAAACCATACCACGGGCGGGATTTGAACCCACGGTCAGAGAGTCTCAAAACTCCTGACCGTCGCGTTAGCCACTGGACCAGCTAGCCACAGTAAGATTCGTCCAGCTAGGTATATTTCTACATCATAGGAAGGTTAGCATAGGCACCACTGTGACCACAAATGCAAGTTTTTACAGACGAATCTCCAGCTAGCGTGGCCGTGACGAACTCTAGCTAAAGTCCCCTAGTTGGACGAATCTTATTGTGACTAGCTGGTCCAGTGGCTAACGCGATGGTCTGGAGTTTTGACACACTCTGACCGCGGGTTCAAATCCCGCCCGTGGTATGGTTTGTTTGCAATCGTGTCATTACGATATCATGAGTCGAGTAATATTTTTTGTTTATTTTAACACAATGGACTTCTCCCACCAAGGCGGGGTGGCCCAAAAAAGAAGAAACAAAAATTTTCTTCCTTTAACATTTAGTAAAATATACAAGAGAAGGGGTTACTAGCCCCTTGCTCCCGGCATTTTAATCGCCTCTTACCTGACGTGCATGGCTTACGGAGGAAGAATTCTTCTCCACTTTCTCCTGTATACATATAATACATACATCTCAAATCTTGTACATATATTCATCTCTTTTAAAACCGTTGAGTTTACATGCAATGAGTTATGTTCCTGATCTCATTACGAAGTGTTAATGATTCTGGGGATTATCTTCCCAAGGCCTACTCTCAAACCAGGCCTCCTAGGTTAGAAAAGATATAGTAGTATTGCAGGACTGAGAACTAATAAGCACACAGAAAAGTAAAGGTACAGTGGATCCCCGCTTAACGATCACCTCCCAATGCGACCAATTATGTAAGTGTATTTATGTAAGTGCGTTTGTACGTGTATGTTTGGGGGTCTGAAATGGACTAATCTACTTCACAATATTCCTTATGGGAACAAATTCGGTCAGTACTGGCACCTGAACATACTTCTGGAATGAAAAAATATCGTTAACCGGGGGTCCACTGTATATGTATATCAGGGATGGATCTACTATGAAATTAATGAGGCTTAAGCTTCAGGGCCCCTAATTCTGGAGGGGCCCAGAAGCGACTTTACTCCACATTGCTTAAAAATTCTGGAATTACTGTATGAAAAGGGGGGTTGCAATAGGACCTCATAACAGTTCAAGCTTCAGGGCCCAAAAAATGTAGCCCCCCCCCCTCCCACTGATGTACAATGTATGTAAGTGGAAGTCTGTAAGATTGATCTTACATGATCAAGACAGCGAGAAAAGATCAGCAATTCTGCTAGAGTAAAAAAAAAACTGGAAGGTTTCCCTTTCAGATTAATGTGAGAGGAAGGTAGTACCTCCCAGGATGATTGCTGTCTACCAACCATCCCTCCAATATGAGAGGAAGGTAGTACCTCCCAGGATGATTGCTGTCTACCAACCATCCCTCCAATGTGAGAGGAAGGTAGTACCTCCCAGGATGGTTGCTGTCTACCAACCATCCCTCCAATGTGAGAGGAAGGTAGTACCTCCCAGGATGGTTGCTGTCTACCAACCATCCCTCCAATGTGAGAGGAAGGTAGTACCTCCCAGGATGGTTGCTGTCTACCAACCATCCCTCACTCCATCCTTTACCATACATATTCTATCACATCAATTCTTACCAACATTACCTTACACCTTTTCTTAACTAAATATATTACTCATTACAGTCAGGTCTTGACTAGTGCAAATTTTAATTTAGTGCAAAATTAATTAATGCTAATTTTTCCCCAAATTCTTCAAATGGTGCACAAAAAGTGCATATAATTTGAATTTTTTTTAATATTGCAAATCTGAGTAATGTGACCACTTCTGGGGGATTCATCATTTGCACTGATCAATACCTGGCTGTGTATAAATCTCTATCCTGAAATTCATGCACTCCCTAAAAAAACACTTTAATTGTAACATATCTGATATTTGACAGTGATCAAAAAAATTCTTGGTATTTTTCACTTAAGCAGACACAAGGCAGAATGGCGTTTTTATCACCTGTACACAAATAACCCGCACATGAAAGAGAGAAGCTTACGACGACGTTTCGGTCCGACTTGGATCATTTACAAAGTGTGACTTTGTAAATGGTCCAAGTTAGACCGAAACGTCGTCGTAAGCTTCTCTCTTTTATGTGCGGGTTATTTGTGTATCGTTCCAGTCACGGTATTGTGCCTTTTTTTGTTATTTATCACCAGTGGTACGTCAACCACAGTTGCTGTTAATGCACCGTCTATAAATTGATAGGCTGACCCACAGAATGATTGCTGCTGCCTAATACTCATCCCTCAAGACAAATTACAAAAAAGTATTGTACTTAAAATACAGTTCTTACACTGTACCATACAGTGCTACAATTTTTGTATACACTAATTCACTTCTATCTCAATACAATAACTTACAATACTATTGACAAATAACCCACACATAGGAAAGAGAAGCTTATGATCATGATAGTCCAACTTGGACTATTTACAAGTCACACTGTAATTTGTTAATGGTCCAAGGTGACCAAAAACGTCGTCATAAGCTCCTCTCTCCTATGTGCGGGTTATCTGTGTATTGTTCCAGGCACAGTATTGTGACTTTCTGTTGACAATACACTTTTAATGTTTAAGAAACTAACCTTAATTTCTCGAAATTCTTTTCTCCATGGTTGTGTTATGAGGTTAGCTGCATAATGTGCCAAGGCATCGAACGCACAAGCTGCACTATATGCACTGAATTCACCCACTGTGTTGACACTGTTTTCCAGCACCTCTGACACTTGATGGAAGGTGAACTTGTGCGAGTGAGGTGTGATCGCCAGGTATTCCATTATAACACCTTTCAAGTTAGACAAGAATAACACATTACAATAATAACTCATTACAATAATAACATACAATACTTATAAGACAAGGCATTAAACATGTACAACATTTAGGCCTTTTTATGAAAATACCACAAAGGGGCATTCATGCCTTATACCAATCTTTTTTACCGTCATTCATACCATATAATACACAAATCTTTATCACTAAGTGGCAATAATATACAGTGGACCCCCGCATAACGATCACCTCCGAATGCGACCAATTATGTAAGTGTATTTATGTAAGTGCGTTTGTACGTGTATGTTTGGGGGTCTGAAATGGACTAATCTACTTCACAATATTCCTTATGGGAACAAATTCGGTCAGTACTGGCACCTGAACATACTTCTGGAGTGAAAAAATATCGTTAACCGGGGGTCCACTGTACTATTAATATACTATTTTTCACCAGAGTATCTGTATGGGTGACTCACAATAAAGAATATGATATTGCTTATATTAACCCGTAAACGGTCCAAGCAGATCTACGTTCACATGTGTAGTGCTACAATAGTAGATCTAAGTTTTTTTTACATATTTTCAAATAACAAAAAAAAATAGATCGAAGTTTTTTACGCATTTTCAAATGTAGAAAAACAAAAAGATCTACTTTTTTACATACTTTCAAATGTTGAAAAAACGTATATATACGTTTGGACCGTTTACGGGTTAACTTGGGTAAGTTGTTTCAGGTGTCTGATTCCTCAAGAAAAACCTGACTCGCAAAAGTGTAATAACACAATTACAATCACAGGATGAGTGGGGTTCAAACCTACGGCAGGCGAGTCCTGCAAATTCCAGGACTCGCCCGCCATGGCTTTGAGCACCGCCCGTTCTACAACTTAATATCTTATTTCTACATGTATATACAGACCATAGTTGACATTAATGACAACTACTATATAGAAAGCCCCTTGTTATGCAGAGCATTTCCCACAAATTAGGTCAATTTTGTCCCAGGATGTGACCCACACCAGCAGGCCCACTGGCCCATGTGAGGCAGGTCCAAGTCACCTACTGACTCAAGCCACTGACCCAACCTAGTCAGGTCCAGGTCACATTCACTTAAGGAAGGAGCACAGCATCAGACCTATTAGTACAAGCTGATGGGTGAACAGGGACAACAGGTGTAAGGAAATATGCCCAATGTTTCCACCCCTGCTGGGAATTGAACCCAGACCCTCACCATGTGAAGCAAGAGGTTTGCCTACCAGGCCACAGGTCACAAAAAATAAACAAATTCCAAGGCAACTGCCTATCAAAACAGTGTTCCAGGCACTGTTTGTGTGGCTCTGTAAATGGTCCAAGTCAGACCGAAACGTCGTTGTAAGCTCCTCTCTTCTATGTGTGGGTTATTTGTGTAGTTTTCCCAGTCAGGGGTACTGTGCCTTTTTTGTTAGTCTCAACTGTTTCTTTCAACAAATCTAGAAAATAGTCACCATTGAAAAAATCGCACCATGCTCGTAGTTCGTGTTTTGGTTAAGTGCAACTCTACGTTTTTCATGTTGACTTTATCTGCCACCGATGATAACTTAGAAACTTTGAAAAACTTTTGCTTATCATCTCTGTAGCATATAAGTCATCGCTCTACAGATCACCTCTACATACTGTTAGTACTATTATGAAGCTCCTGTATATAGAGTCAGCTCTACAGGAGAGCCAACTATATAAAGGAGCTTTATAAAAGCTGTGTATAGAGGTGCTTTATAAGGAAGCTCTTCTACACAGTCAATTTTCCAGATGCTGTCCAATTTTGCATGAAATTTTCAACCACGTTTGACAAAAAGCTCTATATAGAGGAGCTGTTGGATGGACAGTTAACTCTATAGAGTTTCAATATTATTTAACTTCTTTTTTGAAGAACATTGCACTTAAAAGTCCTGCCTAGACATAACTTAGTTAAGTTAGGTTATGCCTACACTTAGTTTGATCAGGTCATACCTACACGTAACTTGGTTAAGTTAGGTCATACCTACACATAACTTGGTTAAGTTACTTCCAGTCATACCTGCACATAACTAAATTATACCAGTCCCTGTTTTAAAAGTACATTTAATAAGCAGTCTGCATAACTCACACTGTATAACTCCAGGCTTTTCAAGGGATAACAAGCCATGATTTTATGTAACATAGTGGACTCTGGAAATACAGCCTCTCCTCGCTTAGCGACGTACTCGTTTACCGACCACTCGGCCTTGCAATCAGCTCTCCAACTAGCATACAAACCTAAGTAATGTATATTAGACCTGATTTCCTCTATTGTTTATTACAGTATACAGGACACTACTGTATAAACATTTAAAAATATACCAGAAATATTATAAATGGTGCAAAAGTGACATTAAAACAATATCAAAGATGGTTGACACAAACCCACTACCAGCATAGTATGCTCCTCGCTTAAAACCCCCTTTTGGGGTCAGTCCCGTAAAATTATAGCTTTGAAGCCAGTGTTGGTCCCGTAATACAATACCAAAATTCTAGCAGCTTCAAATCTTGCGGGAGAAAGCTGATAGGCCTACATATGAGAGAATGGGTCTGTGTGGTCAGTGTGCATGGTATAAAAAATATCCTGCAGCAAGCAGTGCACGAGGAAAAAAAAACCAACTGTGTTTTTGGTTTAAAACAGTGACTTCGCAGTGTGTTTTGAGGCGCTGTACCAAATTTCTGAACAGGCAAAATTCATTGCGTAAACTGTACCTGTTAAATCATTAACCCACCAAAATGAAACTTTTGATATGAATGTCAAAAATAATTCCCCTCCCTACCCCACCCAATTTTTTTTTTGTTCTAAAATTATTAGAGAATTTTTTTCTGAAGGTAATAACACCACAAGTACAAAATTTGATGGAAAACTTGCAGAATTATGCTGGTGCAAAGTAGTCTTGGTGCAATTTATGCACAAGAGCTTTTGTCCATTTGAGTCTTATTTTAGGCCAATTCCATTGTTTTAGTCAACTAAACTCTTAGCTATTGTGCTAGTATGCTTTCCATTCTATCAACTGACCACAAGAAACTGCCCATTTAACTATTTAAACAACCCTATAAAGTGATCAGAATTTAGTAATTTGGACAATTTCACACAAAATAAAGAAAAAAGATTTAAAAATAATAGTCCATAATCAGTAATGTAAACATTCGTGGCACTAAAGCAACATTTTCTCTGTTCATTAGTCACATCCCCAGAACTTTCCTATACAGCCTCTCCTCACTCAGCGACGTACTCGTTTACCGATGACTCGGACCTACGACGGGCGCTCTGACCAGTATTCGTACCTAAATAATGTATATTAGAGCTGATTTCCTCAATTGTTTATTTCAATATACAGTACACTACTGTATAAACATTTGAATATGTATACCAGAAATGTTGCAAAGGTGACAATAAAATATCGAAGATGGTTGACACAAACTCAGTAACATTATAATATGCTCCTCTCATAGCGACGAATTCATTTAACAATGTGGTCTCAGGAACGGAACTGCGTCATTAAGTGAGGAGAGGCTGTATTACACTAGCTTCCCATTTTCAATTCTTATTCACACAAGAATAGAAAATTTACTCTATTTCTCACAAAATACATAACCAGGAAAGATTGTTCATGGTTTACAGCATCCCAATAATTGTATCACAACTTTCAAAAATCCATAAAAATGGATGTGGGATGTAGGGAAGCCTTACCTGTCCTCTGGAATATTATCAATAATTAAAAATTTTTGCTACTTTGACCTTAATTTCAAGCTACTTCCCATCCTAAAACCAATCAAAATCATCTCTATTTTAGTAATGTTTCCCATTCTATCAATACCAAGAAACAACTAATAAAGCCATAAAAACCATCCGAGAAAATGACGCAAAATCGTGATTTAAAACCGCATACACGGTCATTTTTTTCCGCATCGTGCACTGCGTGGGGCAGGATTTTTTTATATGGCACACACTTACCACACACTCAGTTTCTCAAATCTATGCCAAAATTTACTTCCCACAGCTTACATAAGTGAGCTTACTGACCTAGTAATACATGAACATTGGTTCTACGTGAGGGACACAGTTAATGGACACTGGTTCCACATGAGGGTAAGATAAGATAAGATAAGATTTCGTTCGGATTTTTAACCCCGGAGGGTTAGCCACCCAGGATAACCCAAGAAAGTCAGTGCGTCATCGAGGACTGTCTAACTTATTTCCATTGGGGTCCTTAATCTTGTCCCCCAGGATGCGACCCACACCAGTCGACTAACACCCAGGTACCTATTTGCTGCTAGGTGAACAGGACAACAGGTGTAAGGAAACGTGTCGAAATGTTTCCACCCGCCGGGAATCGAACCCGGGCCCTCCGTGTGTGAAGCGGGAGCTTTAGCCACCAGGCCACCGGGACACATTTATTAATGGACATTGGTTCTACGTGAGGAACAGTGTTAATGGACACTGGTTCTACACGAGGGACACAGTGTTAATGGACACTGGGAGAATGGCCTCATGTTAGCCCCTTATAATCAAGCTTTAGGGCAAATAAACTTTTGTCTACTACTCCTTCCTAGCTTGTACTCTTAGCTGAAGTCTGAAGTACTAGTTGTAGTATAGTAACAGTACTAGTAGTAGTAGTACTAGTAACAGTATTAGTAGTACTAGTAACAGTATTAGTAGTACTAGTAACAGTATTAGTAATACTAGTAACAGTATTAGTAATACTAGTAACAGTATTAGTAGTACTAGTAACAGTATTAGTAGCAGTAGTACCAGTGGTAGTAGTACTAGTAGCAGTAGTACCAGTGGTAGTAGTACTAGTAGCAGTAGTACCAGTGGTAGTAGTACTAGTAGCAGTAGTACCAGTGGTAGTACTAGTAGCAGTAGTACCAGTAGTAGTACTAGTAACAGTAGTAGTACTAGTAGTACCAGTGGTGGTAGTACTAGTAGCAGTAGTACCAGTAGTACTAGTAACAGTAGTAGTACTAGTACCAGTAGTACTAGTACCAATAGTACTAGTACCAGTAGTAGTACCAGTAGCAGTAGTAGTACTAGTACCAGTAGTAGTACTAGTACCAGTAGTAGTACTAGTACCAGTAATACCAGCACCAGTGGTAGAGCAGCAAAGACAACTTACGTTCTAGTTTCTCTCTTTGTTCCAGTTTGTGAGGAGAATCTTCTGTTTCAATGTATCCCAGATGTAAAGTGTTCATTTCCTCCATCAACTCTTCATCTACCGAGAGCACAGGTCCTGAGAGTAGAGGCGGAGCAGCCGTCTGTCCGCCAGACTGCTGGGGGGGCATCATCCCTGGAGGAGGACCTCCGGGCATGCCATACACCATAGTAGAAGGATGTTGGTGGGTAGGGTGGGTGTGTGTGTGTGGCAGGGGAGTAGCGAGGTACGGATTGACGTAAATGGAGGTCGGTGGAGCATACACTGGCGATGGCTGGGACAGCATCGGGGAAGGATGGGTCAACAGGGCAGAATTCCCCGACCCTATAGGTAATGAGACGTTAGCGGCAGCGGCAGCCGCAGCTAGAGACGTAGTATGAGCCGAGTGAGTCTGGTGGGTCGAGTGAGGAAAGGTATGAATAGCATAATTATGAGGCATAGGAGGGGGCAGGATTGCTGAAGGAAATAAGGAGGAGTGGACAGTAGGGGGATGGGGACCCCCCATATGGGGAGGCAATGCCATGTGGTACATCGTCATGTGGTCACGCACTCTCGATCATCTGAAACAATAATGAATGTATAAAATGATGAATATCTTGGCCAGAATAAAAAATCTCTATTTTGAGTTATATCCATTAAATTTCATAGTACAGTGGAACCTTGGCACTTGAACTTAATTCATTCCAGAAGGCTGTTCGAGTGCCAATCCATTTGAGTGCCGAATAAATTCTTCCCAACCAATTTTCTTTTTGGTTGGCTGTTATCACTAATCTTCGGAGGCCCCATGGCGACTTATTTATACAAATAATACAAAAAAAAAAAGATGTGAAGAACACAAAATAGTTTACAGCAAAGTTCTGAGCTTTGTTAGGGTAGGGAGCTGTTTGTGTACAAAGATTCCACTGTAGTTGTAATAGTAATATTTACAGTAGTTGTAGTACTAGTAGCAATATTACTAGTAATATTAATACTAGTAAAAGTACTCTAGTGGTACTAGTAGTGGCAGCAGTAGCGGTATACTAGTAGTAGCAGTACTAGTAGTATTACTACTAGTGATATTTACTGAGCACCATTACTGCATAAATTACTCAGTGCTCATAACTAGACAACATATATCGAGGTCTTGATCAGTGTGAATAATGAATGCCATGAAGTGATCGAACTATTCAAATTATATACATGTATAATTTCTGCTAGCGAGTTGAAGAGTTTGAGGGAAAACTAGGATAAATTAATACAAGCTAAATCAAAATTCACACTAATCAAGACCTAGCTGTATATAACACAATACAAAATAAAAATTACAATATAAATAAAAATCTGTGGAACTGCTCTTTCTTTACGAAGGTTTGACTTATGATATTTCAACTTTGCGATGGTTCGACTTATGATATTTCAACTTTGCGATGGTTCGACTTATGATATTTCAACTTTGCGATGGTTCGACTTATGATATTTCAACTTTACGAAGGTTCGACTTATGATATTTCAACTTTGCGATGGTTCGACTTATGATATTTCAACTTTGCGATGGTTCGTAACTGATGCACATTCAGCACTGTACTGTAATGTACATTTATTGATAGCATAAACTTGTATTCATTTAATTACTTTTCAGTACTGGTATTTAGATGAAGTAATTTGTTTACTTATTGAGTGACAGTAGTTATTTACTTATTTATCATATCCATATTCGACTTGTTATATTTTCAACTTACGATGGGTTCATCAGGACGTAACCCCCATGATAAGTCGAAGACCGTCTGTAATTCATTGCGCACCCCCAAAAACCGTCTCAACTTTGCCTTCAGCAGCGATATCACATTCTATACCTGGCGTGTTTGAGAGACTGGTTCCATACCTGTACTCTAGGAATATGATTGTTGGATTATTAACCCAGAGGTCTTGTACCCTGGGATAACCTGATGAAGCCAGTGTGTGATTGGGGAATGTCAAATTTATTTCCACTGGGGTAACAAAAAAAAGGCACAATACCGTGACTGGAACGATACACAAATAACCCGCACATAAAAGAGAAAAGCTTACGACGACGTTTCGGTCCGACTTGGACCATTGACAAAGTCACACTAACTGAGTTTGTGTGACTTTGTCAATGGTCCAAGTCGGACCGAAACGTCGTCGTAAGCTTCTCTCTTTTATGTGCGGGTTATTTGTGTATCCACTGGGGTACTTCAATCCTCTTCCTGGGATGTGACCCACAACAGCTGACTAACACCCAGGTACCTACTTACTGCTAGGTGAACATGGACAGCCAATTTATGGAAACACGACAACCATTTCACCCACGCTTGGGAGCAAACCGCAGTCCCTTAGCGTGAAAGCTGAGGAAACCACCAACCCAGCTCCTGACAAACAATTACTTACAAAATGGGACACTGCATTTGTAAAGTAACCCCAAGAAACGAAAACTGGATTAAAAACACACACACTAGGATCTGTTGATTAGAAAAAAAAAATTCAGTCCTGGGACCTTGATCACTTCTAACAAAAAGGTTTAAGAATGACAGTACAGTAAACCCTTCATATAATGAACTATTAGGGGAGGTGACTGATAAAAACAATTGTAATGGAGACGAGATTATTATGACATAGTAATAATCGACAATTCTTTAACCAGTGGGCTTTGTCGTTCCTGAATCAACCTTGCAGATTTTATTCTGGATTTTTGAAGTCAGTTATATAGAGGTACGTTATACGTATACTGATGGTTTACTGTACAGGTGTTCCTCGACTTCCAATATTTGGACTTAGATGATGCAACAGAGTTTGTAAGTCAAGTTACCACTGTACAAGACAATGTTTGGAAGCAGTTGTAACATAACATTAGTAAACAACTGCTAAAGTGTAACATAAAGCCTACTCTTGACCCTGACCTTGACAGCAACTTGAAATTCAATACCCATATAAAACAAAAAGAAAAAGTGCCAAAACAGTTGGCATCCTCTCTAAGATACATGTACACTATTATGTACCACAAACAGCACTACAACTACATTACACTATTCGCTGATCTATCCCTACCTCACCTACGCTATTTGTGCCTTGGGTTCTACAACAGCATCTCGCCTTAAGCCAATAATAACTCAACAGTAGTGTACTGTATATTGTAATGAACAGAATACAGGAAATCAGCTCTAATATACATAGGTTTGCGTACTGGTTGGAGAGCTGGTTATAAGTCTGAGCGGTCGGTAAATGAGTACGTTGCTAAGTGAGGAGAGACGGCACAGTGGGACCCCCCGTATCCATGAGTCCACATCTGCAGTTTCAGTTATCGGCAATTTACCATGGCCCAAAAATAACTCTTAACTTTGCTTAATAATGGCTTCAAAGTGCCTCAAGTGTCAGAAGGTCTTCAAAGTCTAAGAGAATCTGTGAAAAAGTGAAAATTATCCACTTATTGTGCATAATTTATCAATTAAATTTTATAATAGGGGTGTATATGACTTACATATAGGTTTTGCTACTATCCACAGTTTTGGTATCAGTGGCAGGTCCTTGGAGCATTTCCCCCATAGATACGGGGGCTCTACTGTTATCGATTAGTTATTGCCATTATAGTGTTAAGTTATGCTTAAGTTTGCCCGAAATGCTCTGTATAACTATGAACTTTCCGCTTGTACACCTAAATGTACTTATCTTTGTACTAACATTACATCATGCCGAAATAAACTGAAATTGCATAATAATCAGTCTTACAAAACAGAAAGTCATCCTCATACATCACACCCAGAGACCTATATTCATCCATAAATGACTGGTCATACCCTAGAGGGCAGACTGCCATCACTATCACCCAGCTTCTCCCAAAACCCAACACAGCCGTCCTGACCATCATAAGTATAAAAAACGAAATGGCTAGTTCTTGATTAGCGCGAGTTCAAAGAGTGCAAATTTCGATTTAGTGCAAAATGAAAATGCTAGTTTCCCCCCCCCCAACTCTTCGAATCACATGCATACATAATTATATTATTACAGTGGTACACAAATAACCCGCACATAAAAGAGAGAAGCTTACGACGACGTTTCGGTCCGACTTGGACCATTTACAAAGTCACACAGTGTGACTTAGTAAATGGTCCAAGTCGGACCGAAACGTCGTCGTAAGCTTCTCTCTTTTATGTGCAGGTTATTTGTGTATCGTTCCAGTCACAGTATTGAGCCTTTTTTTGTTATTTACTGTGGTACCTCTGGCCACGAACGCTTCTGAACACTAACAAATCAGTTCATGACCAAAATTTACCAAATATTTGCATCTGGTCACACATAATCAGGCACCAAACAAACACAGCAGCGCCAATTTTCACATTCCAAACCATTTTTTCACGAGCGCCAATTTTCCCCACTTCCTGCAATTACGACCGTGATAAATTCAGATTAGCAATGTTTTATCAGAAGGTAGTGCCCAAACAGTTTCTCGCAGTGCCAGTACCCGTCTAGGGTTTGCCATATGTGATTTTCGGTAATATTTTTTCTCATTTTTTGGGCTATCTTATTGAAACTTGGGCTATGTATGACGGAAAGATGTTTCTTAATGTACACCAAAAATGAAAGAAATTGGCCGATAAATAACGGAGTTCACTTAAATGATGAATAACATGATATTCACCCTTAAGGGTGAATATCATGTTATTCATCATTTAAGGTGAATATCATGTTATTCATCATTAAGGGTGAATATCATGTTATTCATCATTTAGGGTGAATATCATGTTATTCATCATTAAGGGTGAATATCGTGTTATTCATCATTAAGGGTGAATATCGTGTTATTCATCATAAAGGGTGAATATCGTGTTATTCATCATTAAAGGTGAATATCGTGTTATTCATCATTAAGGGTGAATATCATGTTATTCATCATTAAGGGTGAATAATCTGTGAATATACTGATGCAGGTGTTGGATTAATGTGATGAGTAAACAGGAAGTAATGAATGTGATGAGTAAACAGGAAGTAATGAATGTGATGACTCGTATGGTATTCTCCCTCACATAACTGTACTCCCTGACCCACCCCTGACCCACCCTGACCCACCCTGACTCACCCTGACTCACCTGACCCACCACAATATTACTTTGAAGAAGTACAATTATGCCTTGACTCACCTGGCATTCACCCTGACGTCTCACTACCCACCCTTGACCCACCTTACCCACCCTGACGTCCCCCTTGACCCACCTTACCCACCCTGACTTCTCACTACCCACCCTTGACCCACCTTACCCACCCTGACATCTCACTACCCACCCTTGACCCACCTTACCCACCCTGACGTCTCACTACCCACCCTTGACCCACCTTACCCACCCTGACGTCTCACTACCCACCCTTGACCCACCTTACCCACCCTGACGTCTCCACTACCCACCCTTGACCCACTTTACCCACCCTGACGTTCTCACTACCCACCCTTGACCCACCCTGACGTCTCACTACCCACCCTTGACCCACCTTAACCCACCCTGACGTCTCACTACCCACCCTTGACCCACCTTACCCACCCTGACGTCTCACTACCCACCCTTGACCCACCTTACCCACCCTGACGTCTCACTACCCACCCTTGACCCACCTTACCCACCCTGACGTCTCACTACCCACCCTTGACCCACCTTACCCACCCTGACGTCTCACTACCCACCCTTGACCCACCTTACCCACCCTGACGTCTCACTACCCACCCTGACGTCTCACTACCCACCCTTGACCCCCTTACCCACCCTGACGTCTCACTCACCCACACCTTGACCCACCTTACCCACCCTGACGTCTCACTACCCACCCTTGACCCACCTTACCCACCCTGACGCTCCCCACTACCCACCCTTGACCCACCTTACCACCTGACTCTCACTACCCACCCTTGACCCACCCTGACGTCTCACTACCCACCCTACCCACCCTGACCCACCTAACTCACCCAGACGTCTCACTACCCACCCTGACCCACCTTACTTACCCTGATGTCTCCTTACCCACCTTGACCACTTTACCCACCCTGACCCACCACACGTCACTTAGAGGAAGTATAAACGAGTATGATGCCCTGACTCACCTGGCACTCGCCCCCCGTCTCACAACCCACCCTAACCCACCTTAACCCACCCTGACGCCTCACAACCCACCCTGACCCACCTGACCCACCACAACACGACGTCAATTTCAGGAAGTAATCCGCCCTTTAAGTCAGCCAAAACTGACTTAAATGAGTATTCCGCCCCCCCCCAGACTCACCCCCCATGACTCACCCCCATAAAACCCCACCATGAGTAACCCATTACTCACCCCCTCACTATACCACACCATCAACCTCACACCACCACCTCACACAGCTTAAATTAGTAATATTACTCACTATCTCGCACCAAAACACACACTTTAGGATCATAAGGGTGGTGAGTGCGACAGATGAGTGTGTGAGAGTGAGTAAGAGTGAGTGTGTGAACTCTTTTAGTGGGATTCATTTACTCTGGATTCTTTTTACTCTATAGTTTCCCATACTTTAATTTTTCTTTGGGTTAGAGAAAACGGTGGTTTTTGGGGGTTTTATGGGAGACTTTTGTAGTATTTAGTTATTTGTGGTTGCAGGGGTCGAGTTTTAGCTCCTGGCCCCGGTACTTATGGTGGGGTCATGGGTGTGTGCTTATCTTTGTGTGGTTGCAGGGGTCGAGTTTTAGCTCCTGGCCCCGGTACTTATGGTGGGGGACATGGGTGTGTGCTTACCTTTGTGTGGTTGCAGGGGTCGGGTCTTAGCTCCTGGCCCCGGTACTTATGGTGGGGGACATGGGTACTCACCTAGTTGTACTCACCTAGTTGAGGTTGCGGGGGTCGAGTCCGAGCTCCTGGCCCCGCCTCTTCACTGATCGCTACTAGGTCACTCTCCCCGAGCCGTGAGCTTTATCATACCTCTGCTTAAAGCTATGTATGGATCCTGCCTCCACTACATCGCTTCCCAAACTATTCCACTTACTGACTACTCTGTGGCTGAAGAAATACTTCCTAACATCCCTGTGATTCATCAGTGTCTTCAGCTTCCAACTGTGTCCCCTTGTTACTGTGTCCAATCTCTGGAACATCCTGTCTTTGTCCACCTTGTCAATTCCCCTCAGTATTTTGTATGTCGTTACCATGTCCCCCCTATCTCTCCTGTCCTCCATGTCGTCAGTTGATTTCCCTTAACCTCTCCTCGTAGGACATACCTCTTAGCTCTGGGACTAGTCTTGTTGCAAACCTTTGCACTTTCTCTAGTTTCTTTACGTGCTTGGCTAGGTGTGGGTTCCAAACTGGTGCCGCATACTCCAATATGGGCCTAACGTATACGGTGTACAGGGTCCTGAACGATTCCTTATTAAGATGTCGGAATGCTGTTCTGAGGGTTTTCTAGGCGCCCATATGCTGCAGCAGTTATTTGGTTGATGTGCGCTTCAGGAGATGTTCCCGGTGTTATACTCACCCAAAGATCTTTTTCCTTGAGTGAGGTTTGTAGTCTCTGACCCCCTAGACTGTACTCCGTCTGCGGCCTTCTTTGCCCTTCCCCAATCTTCATGACTTTGCACTTGGTGGGATTGAACTCCAGGAGCCAATTGCTGGACCAGGTCTGCAGCCTGTCCAGATCCCTTTGTAGTTCTGCCTGGTCTTCGATCGAGTGTATTCTTCTCATCAACTTCACGTCATCTGCAAACAGGGACACCTCAGAGTCTATTCCTTCCGTCATGTCGTTCACAAATACCAGAAACAGCACTGGTCCTAGGACTGACCCCTGCGGGACCCCGCTGGTCACAGGTGCCCACTCTGACACCTCGCCACGTACCATGACTCGCTGCTGTCTTCCTGACAAGTATTTCCCTGATCCATTGTAGTGCCTTCCCTGTTATCCCTGCTTGGTCCTCCAGTTTTTGCACCAATCTCTTGTGTGGAACTGTGTCAAACGCCTTCTTGCAGTCCAAGAAAATGCAATCCACCCACCCCTCTCTCTCTTGTCTTACTGCTGTCACCATGTCATAGAACTCCAGTAGGTTTGTGACACAGGATTTCCCGTCCCGTACCTTTGTGTGGTTGCAGGGGTCGAGTTTTAGCTCCTGGCCCCGGTACTTATGGTGGGGGACATGGGTGTGTGCTTACCTTTGTGTGGTTGCAGGGGTCGGGTCTTAGCTCCTGGCCCCGGTACTTATGGTGGGGGACATGGGTGTGTGCTTTGTGTGGTTGCAGGGGTCGAGTCTTAGCTCCTGGCCCCGGTACTTATGGTGGGGGACATGGGTGTGTGCTTACCTTTGTGTGGTTGCAGGGGTCGAGTCTTAGCTCCTGGCCCCGGTACTTATGGTGGGGGACATGGGTGTGTGCTTACCTTTGTGTGGTTGCAGGGGTCGGGTCTTAGCTCCTGGCCCCGGTACTTATGGTGGGGGACATGGGTGTGTGCTTACCTTTGTGTGGTTGCAGGGGTCGGGTCTTAGCTCCTGGCCCCGGTACTTATGGTGGGGGACATGGGTGTGCGCTTTGTGTGGTTGCAGGGGTCGAGTCTTAGCTCCTGGCCCCGGTACTTATGGTAGGGGACATGGGTGTGTGCTTATCTTTGTGTGGTTGCAGGGGTCGAGTCTTAGCTCTTGGCTCCGTGAGTTAATGAGTAGGTAAGTGAATAAGTAGGTGTGTAGGTGAGTGATTAGGTAAGTGAGGGGGTAAGTAGATGAGTCAGTGATTAGGTGAGTGAATGAGTAGGTAAGTGGGCGAGTAGGTGAGTGAATGAGTGAGTAGATAAGTAAATAAGGTGTCCTGTAGCTGGGTTGGTTGTGTATTCAGCTCACACAATGAGTGTTCATGGTTCGATCCCTGGTACAAGTGAAAACAGGGCGTGTTTCCTTGAAACACCTGCTGTCCATGTTCATCTAGCAGTAAGTAGATACCTTTAAAGGACCACAATGGAAATAAGTCACTTAGTCTGACTTTTTTTGGGTTATCCCAGGTCCTCTGCACATATGCTGTTATGTATGATACTTTCTGTAACTGTATATTACGAACACAAGTAATGTATGGCCTGTGACCTGGTCGTAATGGGGTTTGGAGCAAAGCAAACTCAGACTATTACCTGGAGTTTACCTGGAGAGAGTTCCGGGGGTCAACGCCCCCACGGCCCGGTCTGTGACCAGACTATAATTTATATTTTGCCTTCACCCACTATATATAAATATGTACACTTTGTACAAATGGAATAATAGGTGCACGCGATGGTGACAGATGGCAGAGCAAGAGCCAAAGAGAGTGCACTGTACTCAACCAGCAGGTAGGCAAGTCTGCCAAATGCTCATCACAAGTGAACCACATTGCCTCAGCTTTGGCGGGCTTGCCTGCGATTGGTTGATGATCCAAGGTACTGATTTAACGATGGGGAGCTTCTTGATCGTTAAACCCTTAATACCCGGTTCACTGGCTGGGAGGCAGCCTAAATGAGTGTGACATACTCTTTGCGTACTACACTGTATTTGTGTATACTTGAATAAACTTACACCTGCTGTCCATGTTCACCCAGCAGTAAGTAGGTACATGGTGTTAGTCACCTTACACCTAGTTACTGTTGGGTGAATACCCAGCAGTAACTAGGTACCTGGGTGTTGGTGGACTAGTGTGAGTCGCATCCTGGGACAAAATTAACCTTAGTTGAGGGGAATGCTCTGCATAACCAGTGACTTTCTGTATAGTAGTATGCCATTGATGTCAGCTATGGTCTGTATAAGTTGCATCATGTACTTGTAAAAATAAAAATTATAAGTAGTAGTAAGTACGTCGGTATTTAGGTAAGTTAGTATCACACACACAGTAAGGTAACATAAAAAGTTAGCCAAAGTGACTTTCACTGGGGTTGTTCTAACTCGGTCGCCAGCGTACTCAGCTCACACACTGAGGTCCAGGGTTTGAATCTCCTTTGGGACGGCTGGAAAACATTAGGGACGTGTTTCCATAAGACACCTGCTGTCCCTGTTCACCCATTAGTAAAATGCGTACCTGGGTGTTAGTCGACTGATCTGGGTGGCATCCTGGGTGTTAGTGGACTGGTGTGGGTGGCATCCGGGGTGTTAGTCGACTGGTGTGGGTCACATCCTGGGTGTTAGTGGACTAGTGTGGGTCACATCCTGGGTGCTAGTGGACTGGTGTGGGTCACATCCTGGATGTTAGTGGACTGGTGTGGGTCACATCCTGGGTGTTAGTGGACTGGTGTGGGTCACATCCTGAATGCTATTGGACTGGTGAGGGTCTCATCCTGGGTGTTAGTGGACTGGTGTGGGTGGCATCCGGGGTGTTAGTCGACTGGTGTGGGTCACATCCTGGGTGTTAGTGGACTAGTGTGGGTCACATCCTGGGGGCTAGTGGACTTGGTGTGGGTCAATCCTGGAGTTTGTGGACGGGTGAGTCACATCCGGGTGGCTAAAATTGGGGCGGTGGGGGTCACATCCTGGATGTTGTGGAATGGTGTGGGCAGACCTGGGTGTTAAGTGGACTGGTGGGGGGTCACT